TACTACTACGAATTGTATTAAAAGTCACGTTTTAACGTCGTTTTTTTTCTTTTTTTGCAACGAATAAACATTAATAAAATCGATCAATAATATTCGAATAAGAAAACGTATTCGAATTCCGTTAAAATTCAAATTTTAAATAATATATATGTACAAAATTGTCTCGTTGATACATTTCACGCGATTTCTCGAGAAAAACCGTTAAACCCTTAAAGTGACGTAAATAATTTGACAAACTTACCGGAAGTACGTAATCGTGACGTAATTACAACAATCATCCGTAATCGCAACAGAGAGAGACACTTCACAAAAGTTTTAATTATTCAAAGTGTCACGTGATCATTAATTTCTTTTTACAAAAAAAAATTTTTTAATTGATTCCGATTAAACGTATATATATATATATAAAAAAAGAAAAAGTTTTATCAAAAAGAAATTAATATATATATAAATGTTTTATTTAAATAAAAAAAAAGAGTATAAAAAATATTACTTCACGTTTTTATTTTAATATTCGATCTTGATTATGTGAATAATTATTACCGGCATTTTGATTTTTAAGATTTTTATATAAAAAAATTGTCGTCTCGATTTAAGTATACGTTTTTCTAATATTTGAAATGTGTATATATGTATATATGTATAAAAAAGTAAAAAAAATGTAATTTTCTTACAAAAGTTATGATTAATGAGTTAATGAGTTAATAATTAATAAAAATTCTACCCGGTTTCACTTACTTTATTCACACGCGATACGATTCGAACGCGTTCAAACCGAAAACCATCCACCAACTGAGATTGAGAATCGTTTTGTGAATTCGACTTAAGCGCCCCTAGCGGCGAATTATTTTTCTAACACCACGTTTTTTTTTTTTACCGGTTACCTTATTTGACAAAAAAAAACAAAATCTACTGTTCGATTTTATTTACCGTTATTAATCTTCCCTTATTTAAAAAAAAAAAAAAATCTTATTTATCGGAAATCATTTTATTAAAATAGTATACTTATTTCGGCACTCCGGTTTCCATATATCTCGAAATTTCCGTTTAAAAAAAAAAGATTTTGATTCTGTGCATTTTACATTAAGATAAACAACATGTCGGCTCATCTTACAGCTTTTTAAAGCATATCTCAGAGTTTTGTTTATCGTAATACATTTTTGTGTTTTTATTAAACAATAATTGACAAACTTAGTACTCAAAGCAGAATATATGAAAATGGAAATTATTAAATTAATTGATTTGCCCACTTCAAACACATTAGTGAAAATCTCATGAGTGTCATCAAATCTCTGAAACATTCATCCAAATATGGTTTACTTATGAAATTGTTAGAAGTTGATCCTTTAAAGAAGCTGTTCAGTTTAAAAATTGCTTTACTGTCTATAAAAAGGTTTTAGTAGGCTTAAACAAAGGCTAGAAATGGTTTAGGCTAGAAAACAAAGATGCAATCAAAACCAAAAGTTGAAAAATAGATAATTTAACATAAATCATTATTATTATTCTTAAAAAAATCATATTGTAGTTTTAATTTTTAACATAACTTTTCCAGTGACAATTACTTTGAATTAATTTTATCAAAACACACACAGACACACACATGTTACAAAATAAATTTAATAATATGATGTGTGAAATCAAATTCCAAAAAACATAACATAACATTCAAAACCAACAAATTTAAATAAACAAACACAAACTTGACTGAATTAAAAACATATTTTCAAACATAAAATGAATCAAAACAAATTAAACACAAACAAAAACTAAAAAAAAATTGACAAAAAAACATATTAAACATTGAAAAGCAACAAAACAAAACATACAATTCAATTTATTACAAAATTATTGTTTTGAATTATTATTATTATTAAGCTATTAATCAATCAAATAAGATGGAGAATTTTTTTTTTTTATTTTATACCTACAATAATTTAAGTAATAAAAAAAAAATCAAATTATCATTCACAATTAAAGAAAATGGGGGGGGGGGAAAATAAATAAAAAAAAGGAAAACTATTACATCAATTGGAAAATCCAATTTTGTTATCCTCATTATTTTCCACAAGGTTTATTCCTTCCTTTTATATATATATATTCCAATATTCTAACAATTTTCTCTCAATGTTTCTTTTCCCTTTTTCCCTTTTTCAACTTGAAAAACTTTATTATCTTTCTAAAAAAAAAGAGAATTAATGGAAAATAAGAAAATGTATCATTCCATTCCAGTTTCTCTCCCCTCCCTCCCTTTTTTTTTTATTTCTTAACAAAAACTGTCCACTTTTTTTTTTTTTTTTTATTTAAAAATATTGCTTTGCCTGTATGTTTTATTTTTTGAAGGGAAAAATGGTTAAATCTAAAAAAAAATACATCCTCCTGGGTCATACACATAAACTTTAACCTTTACCCCTCCTCACACATCCCTTATTTTTTATAAATTACACTTTAGAATATGAAAAAAAAAAAAATTTATTATGTGGATTTGTAAAATCTAAAAAATGGACTTTAAAAAAAAAATTTTAAATTATAATTTTTTTCTTTTTTTTTTATGACCTCATCATCATCATCATTATCATTATTATTATTATTTTGTTTAAATGATGTCGAGAGAGTTCAATTAAAATGTCAATTAAGATTTAAATTCGTCTTTAATTAAACAAAAAAAAAAATTCGAGGTGAAAATTAATTAATTAATTATTTGATATTATGTGTGTGGGGGGAGGAGGAGGAAAAGGAGGAGGAAGAGGTCATTTTCTTTTATTATAAAAGCTCATTTTAATAAGTCAAAGAAATATTCTTGAAATTGGCTTAATCGGTATTAATCACGTAAAAAACATTAATTAAGAGTTAAAATGGCGACGTAAACCGTATGAAAACCCTCGACATTTTGTATTGGAAATCGCCAACGCTAAAATCATCGCGTTTTTAACATTCAAATCATCATCATCATCATCGAAAAAAAAGTCGTTAATTATTAATTATTAAATTTAATAACGAAAAAGATATAAAAAATACCAGAAGATGTGATTAAAAATTAAAAAAAAAAAAAATGGATGAAACGTTTTTGTTTTTAAAATCGATTTTTAAAAAAATGTTTTCCACTTAAAATTTATTCAAAAGTTTTATTATTATTATTATTAAGTTAATAATAATAATAATAATCCGTCTGCTTCCACGAAAAACTTATTATTTAAACAAAAATAATTAAGAAAATTTCAAAAGATGGCGAAAGGAAAAACGAATGAGAAAAAAAAATTTAAAATTTTTCAAATCGAACGTTAGTTCTAACGTTTTTTTAACGGTCGCGCTCTGCAAATTTGAATTTTTTCTTTTAAAATTTTTTGATTCTTTAACGGTTTTTTTTTTTTTTTTGAAATTTTATATTTTTAATCTTTTTCTTCATGAATAAAAGAAAATTTTACGTTAATTTTCAAATTAAACCGACACGAAAATCATTATTTCTAACGAAAATTTCAATTCTGTTCTTAAAAAAAAAACAAGATGGCGTCGATTTCGTTGCGAAAGAAAATATTAAGGGAAAAATTTAACCTGCGTGATTCGTTTTTTTTTAAATTTTCAGGTACTGTTTTTTTTTTATTGAAACCGTTTTTCTTTTTTGTTGTTAATATTTAAAAAGATACCCACAAAGAAGTTTTTGGGAAGAAAAAAATTTAAACAAAGAAATGGTACGAAACGACATTGATTACCTGTTTTCAATATTAAACAAAACAATGTCAACCTTTTTTTTTTTTTTTTTTTTTTTATTTCACCGTAAATTGACAAATACACTAAAAATTTAAATTTCAGGTTCGAATAATGATAGTAATAATAATAATAATCGTGGCTCTAAACGCTACAAGTTTTTTTTTGTTAAGAAACAACTTTTCTTATTTAGTTGCAATTAAATTCAAAAAAACAAGAGCAGCAGCTGCAGAATGGATGATGATGATGATGATGATGATGATGATGATGATGGTCCAACCAGAACAACTTGAAAAGTTGTATAATATATAAAAATTAATTTGGGGGGCCCCAAAAATTAAAAATTTTTCTTTTTAAATAAAAAAAAAAAAAAAGATGGCCATCATTCAATCGCACTGAACCTGAACTGAATTTTTTGTTTTTATTACCTGAATGATTTGACACCTACCTACAGGCGAGGGGGGGGGGGTAAATCAACAAATGAAACAAATGGAAGATTAAAATGTTATTGGAGAAAAGTTCAAAAGGTCAAATTGTTTAATTAAAATCATAAGGAAGAAACCGACATTTTTAAAATTGAAATTTTAAATTCAAATCCGAACCGCAAATTTCTAATGAAAATAATAATAATAATAATAATAATAATAATAATTTTCCAAGTGGAAAAAATATTCGAGTAGTCGAGTAAGAAATAACGAATTTAAAAAAAACAAAAAAGAAAAAATTCTTTACCAGCTTCAATGAGTGGTCCATCATCATCATCATAATCATAAACCAGGTGTTGGTAGGTACCAACCAGGTAGTTTATTAAATCGGCGTAGCAGATGTTTACGATCGTACAAGGCGGCAGGTGCGACACGCGTCCTCGTCCTTTTCTTCATCGAGATTTCATGGAAAAATTTTTTTTTCGATAAAATTCATTTAGAAAAAAGTTTTAAACGGAAAAAAACTCACACACACACACACGAGAAACGTTTGTTTACTTTTCTTAACATCCGCCATATTGGATAAAATTATCCCGCTCTTCGTAAAAATTTTGACGCGATTTTGCAAAAGTCATAGAGAAAATAATCTGAAAAAATTATGTAAACAAAAAAAAGATCGTAGTTACTTTTTATTTAATTTTTTTTTTCTATGATTTATTATTTATTTAGTATTTTTATTATTTAAAAATATTCGAATCGTTGATTTTTTTTTTTTTTTTTTTTTTATATTTTATTTTTATTCTTTAATTAAACATTAAAAGTGTAATAAAAGTTTTTAAATAAAATAATAAAAAAAAAATAATAATAATAAAAATGGATATAGAAGAATATAAATTACGCGGTAAACAAATGATTGACTTTATATGTAATTATTATCAAACGATTAACGAAAGGAGAGTTTTTCCGAGTATAAAACCTGGATACCTGGCTCCGTTACTCCCAAAAGAAGCCCCCAAAAAACCTGATAAATGGGAAGATATAATGCACGATGTAGATACGAAAATAATGCCGGGAATAACGCATTGGAATCATCCGAGATTTTTTGCTTATTTTCCAGCGGGTAATTCATTTGCTAGTTTTTTAGGTGACATGTTAAGCGATGGCATTGGTTGTATTGGATTTTCATGGGCATCATCACCGGCATGCACGGAATTAGAAACGATCGTTTTAGATTGGCTAGGTAAAGCACTTAATCTACCGGATCATTTGTTATATTTTACACCCGGAAGCATCGGAGGTGGAGTCATACAAGGTTCGGCAAGCGAATGCGTATTGGTATGCATGTTGGCAGCAAGATCCGATGCTATAAATTATTTGAAAGAAAAAGGAAAAAGCGACAAAGAAGATTCCGAATTTTTACCGCTATTGGTTGCTTACACGTCCATCGAAGCACATTCGTGCGTCGAAAAAGCAGCTAAAATATGTATGGTAAAGTTAAGAATACTAATGGTGGATAACGAATCGTCTATGAGAGGACCCAAATTAGCAGAAGCCATTCAAGAAGATGTTAAATTAGGTCTTCATCCTTTTATTGTCATTGCGACGCTAGGTACGACAGCCAATTGCGGTTTTGATAACGTTAAAGAAATCGGTCCGATCGTTGCCAAATTACCACACTGTTGGTTTCACGTCGATGCCGCATATGCAGGCTCTTCTTTCATATGTCCCGAATTGAGATACCTTAAAGAAGGATTGGAACTCGCCGATAGTTTTAACACGAACTGTAATAAATTTTTAAACGTTTGTTTCGATTGTTCTTGCTTGTGGGTTAAAGATAGGTACAAACTCATAAGCGCACTCACCGTCGATCCCCTATACCTTCAACACGATCAAGCAAGCGTCACGATAGATTACAGGAATTGGATGATACCATTGTCTAGAAGGTTTCGCTCGCTGAAATTATGGTTCACGTTAAGGAATTACGGTATAGAAAAATTACAAAATTACATAAGGAATCACGTTAAATTGGCTCAAGTTTTCGAAAAACTCGTTAACGAGGATAACAGATTTGAAGTTTGCAACGTTGTTAGATTGGGTTTGGTTTGTTTTCGATTAAAAGCCAAAGATGAAGTCAATCAAGAATTATTGGCTAGCATTAACAGAGAGGGAACGTTACACATGCTTCCTTCAATAACGAAAAATAATTATTGTTTAAGGTTTTGCATCGTTTACGAACATTCAAAAGTAACCGATATAGAATATGCGTGGAACGTGATTAAATTTCACGCGACTCAAGTATTGAAACAACACGACACGAAAATCGTGGCACCAGCCGTAATTGAACAAAATCAAATATTATCCTATATTCAATTCATATCACCGGATTTATTTGCTAAAATGCATGAAAAACCTAATTTGAGAGCAGAAGATTCACCCGTTTACGTTCCCTCTTTGATATTTTCCGATTTATCTGCTTTTAGTGCATCGAGCGTTGAGGATCATCATTAAACAAAATGGAAATATTGGTTTAAATATTTATAATTATTATTATTATTATTATTACTACCACTACTACCACTAACAACACCGTAGTAATTATTTACGTTTCGATGTATATGAAAATGGATATGACATATATAAGCTTCATTCATTCATTCATTCTTCTCATCGAATTATTATTTATGATAATAATAATAATAATAATATTTTCGCAGTTGAAAAAAAAATAAAATAAAATAAAAACGATGCAGTAAAAAATTATTCTTATAAATAGAACATGCGAAATTAATTAATTCTATTTATTTATTTATTTATTTATTTATTGTGTGTGATGATCTTATCGAATGCTTGAATATAAATAATAAAAAAAAAAAAAAAAAAACGAATCCATCTTTTTTTTCGTACAATTAAATGAACACCAAAAAAAAAAAAAAATTTCGCCCGAACAGGGACTCGAACCCTGGACCCTTAGGTTAAAAGCCTAATGCTCTACCGACTGAGCTATCCGGGCGACTTATTCAAACGTGTTTTATAATTTTATTTAAACCCGTAGCGTAAAAAAAAAAAAAAAAAAAAAAAAACTTTTTTTTACATTTGCGCGCGCGAATTTTTTTTTTCTTTTATCGAAAAAATTCAAAATGGCGACAAAATTACCCGTTTTTTTTTAAATAAAACCTATTAACTCATTCTTATCTTACGTACACTTCGGTCTATTTAATGCAAAAACAATAATTATTTTTAACCGTTAGAAAATAAATTGAACCAAATTTTAATTCAATATATATATATATATTTATATTTTTTTTACAAAAAAAAAAGAATAATAATAATAATAATAATAATAATAATTAGTTCAAAAAAATATAAACAATCGACTAAATAATTAAATTAATTATATATATATATATATATATATATATTGCATTTTTTTACCCTTCTTAGGAAAAATCAAACTCTTGGAATCGCGAATACTGTAAAATAATTATTGGAATGATATATAAAGTATCAAACGGGCTTAATTATAAATAAATAAATAAATAAATGAACGATAATAATAATAATAATAACAATCGTAATTATGGCCGATAAAAATAATATTATTATTATTATCATCATCATCATATTAAAAACAAGGCTTCTTTTCTATCTGGAATTAAATTTTATTATTTTAAAGCTCTTTTAATTTTAATTTTCTTTTTTTTTGTAACTTTTCTCATAT